AAAAAAAAAAAATTTTTTTTTTTTTTTGTTTGTTCTCGTGACACGCACGAAACTTGCCGTTCGTTTTTTTTCCAACATAAAAAGATTTTACGTCAAGGATTTTCACTAAAAAAAAAAAAAATTTTAACGGATTTCGTTAGAGAAAAAAATAAATTTTTTTATTATTTTTAATAATCAGTATTGCTATTTTTTTTCTCGTTAAATCCGAATGTTTTCGCCCCCCTTCTTCCCCCCTTTTAATTCGGATTTCACTTAAAATTAAAAATAACAAACGTATGCAGCAAAAACCTAGACCCCCCCAAAAAAAAAAATTTTTTTTTTTAAATTCTGTCATTAAATTTAATATTCCCCCCCCCCCGTTTCGTAAATAATAAATTTGCAAAAATTTAAATTTTGATGACGTCATTAACGAGTATTAAAAACTTTTGTGGTCTTAACCGATTCTCATAATTTTAAAACTTTTGTTATTTATTGAGTTTGTTTCCCAATTAATCCCTAATACACACAAATAAATAATTTTATAAATAAATATATATATGTGCGTGCGTGCGCGTGTGTTAAACACGAGTCAAAAGGTCAAACGTCATCATCATCCATCCATCCATCTATCCATTTAACCCTTTCGATATAAATATTTGCATTATTGATTATTTATTTCTTAAATGACATACGTTTTGGTCTCTTTTTTTTTTGGGGGGTAGGAAAGATGGGAAGGAGGAGGAGGGGGTAAACAAAATCACAGTAGCACAACAACAACAACAACCTGATGAATATATTTTTAAAAAAACGCATTATTATTTACGAATAACCCGTTTTGTTGTTTTTTTTGTTATTATTTTTTTAATAATTACTTAAATTATTACGTAATAAATATGTATTCGGGGAAAAATAAAATAAAAAGTAAATGCCTTTAATAAAAATTTTTTTTTATTTTTTCCTTTTGAAATTAAAGAAAACATAAAACAAAAAAAAAAAGAAAAACGAACAAACGGAAACCATTTTTTTTATATTTTTCTTTCTTTTCCTTTTTCTTTTTCTTTCCATTTAAAAAATTATTTTATTTTTTTTTAAATTAATGTTTTTATTTAAATAAAAAAAGGAGGAAAAAAAAAAATTTTCGTTTTTAATTTTTTTTGTTTTGTTTTGTTTGGGGGGTGGGGGGTGGTTGTGGTGGTGGTGGAAATGAACAAGGGCGTTAACAAAATAATTTTTTTAAAAAATATTTACGAACATTGCGCAACGATAAATACTTTTTCGTATTTAAATAAATTTTTTTTTTTTGTTAATCGTTCGAAAACGCGACAAATCATCATTATCATTCGAATATACTAAAAAATTTTTTTTCCAGACGACAAAGAAGAGAAAAGGGAATAATAATTATGGATAACCTGGATAATTATATGATGAAAAAAAAAAAAAAAAAAAAATTTTTTTTTTTACTCGGACGTACGAAACACGTTCGATGATTATTTAATTACTATACGTGAACTAATTTTTATAAAAATTATATATTGACCTTTAATCGCAAAAGATAAAAATAAAAAAATACATCTTTTTACGTGTCTTTTTTAAATCTCTTATTATTATAAATGAAAATATTCAGAAATGAATTTTAAATTCTAAGACTTCATCCTTGAATTAATTATTTTAATAATTTTTTTTTATAAATATGATTATAAAAGGCTTAAGAAAACATTTAAGAATGTAATAATAATAATAATGATAATAATTGTGTGTTCGTTAGCTCACCTCTAAATTCAATTTTAGCAATTTTGTCACCTTTTATTTTACCAACGTTAAATTGTTTTAATTTCACCGTGAGAGACATTTTTTATTTTTTTCGAAAAAATAACATGACGAAAATAAATTCCCGTTGTCGGAACATAAAATTCGTTAACAAAAATCAAAACAAACAAACAAACAAACAAAATGGAAGGAAATAAAAAACGAACTTAAAATGATTTTTTTTTAACCGTTAAACAATCAACCTGTTCGCTCTGTTTGAGCTTCACTCTAAAACTGACTTCCAGAACTTTCGTATCTGGAGAGAAAAAGAGAGAGAGAAAGAGAGAGAGAAAAAAAATGTCGTAACGGTTTTTTTTTTAAATTACCCAAAGTTATTTTTCATAATAATAATAATAATGATATATTCATATTAGAATGAAAAAATAATTTAAATATCACACAATACGTATTAAAAATCTGCCTGTATGGAAAAACTTTTTTTTTACAAGTTAAATTGGGTCAACAGGTGAAATTTATCATTATTATTATTATTATTATTATTATTATTATTATTATTATTATTATTATTATTATTATTTTCCAGTAAAGCGAAAAAAAATAAAATAAAAATTTAACGATAATTCAAGTTAGAAACCCGTTTCCGAATTGAATTTTTTTTTTTTTATGTAATAAAAAACAATCAAGTATATTTAAATGGCGGATATCATTTGGTGGGTTGGGAGGAGGAGGGGAGAGGGGGGATAAGAAAAAAAACACCTGAGCAAATAAATCAAACCCGTAAAAAAAAAAGGAAAAAAGAATTTTAAATAACCATAAAAGCCTTAGACATTTTCTTAAAGAAAAAGTCAATTTCCGGTTTCGTACTACTAAAAAAAAAATTCTAATAAAAATAAATAAATAAAAAAAAAAAACGTTTTTAAAATTTAAATTTTTCCTTTATCGTCGCCATTTTTTTTTTATTTCGTCCCCCCGTGAAATAATAGTAATAATAATAATAATAATAATGAGACCGCTGAAATTTTCAAATTTATAAATTTGGCTTATATGCATTAAAATTAATCATTATTATTAATTAATCACTAAATCCAATAATTAAAAACGAAATCGATCAATCGATTAACAAATGATGACGTTTATTTTTACCATCGGAAAATTTTATTTGTTTATTTCTGAAATAAATTAAATTATGGGAAATTGTTTAAAATTTGAAAAATTAAAATCGGTTTTTTTGGTTAACGTAAATGAAAAGTGTCTCTCTTTTTCCCAATTAGCTTCACTCTTTTTCTGTCTCTCTCTGTCTCCCTCTCTTTCTAAATCAGCTTCACTATTTCTCTCTTTCTCTCTCTCTCGGTTTCTGTGTCTCTCTCGATCTCTCTTTCCCAAATAACTTCTTTCTTTCTCTCTCTCTTTCTCTCTCTCTGCGTCTCTATCTTTCTCCCAATTAGCTTCTTTCTTTCTCTCTCTTTTTCAATTAGAGCTTCTTTTCTTTTTGTCTTTTGTTTGCTTTTTGTTATTTTTTTTGAGGGGAGGGGGGACGAGTTTAATAATAGAAATTAATTAAAATTTTGTTAAATTAAAGCCTATACGAGGTATTTTGTTTGTTTGTTGATGATGATGATAATAAATTTTATTTTCAGGTATCTGACAAAAAATTTTCTTTTGGAAGAATAAAATGTATATAAATTTAATGATTTACAAAATGTGGTTACGTAAAAAAAAATTTTTTTTAAATAAAATTTAAAACCAGTAGGTAGGATTTAGTTAAAATAAGATTTAATAGTGAGATTTGAGGTAAAGGCCCCTCCGCCCCCCCCGGCTGGAGAAAAGTAAAACGAAAATGCCTGAAAAAAAAAATCCGTTTGCAAACAAAAAACCCAACAAATAAATAAAATGTGATTGTTTTGTTAATATAAAAAAAAATTATGTTTTTCATTTATTATTATTATTATTATTTCTACGACGGAAACGAGAAAATCCAACTTTTCTTGTATGTGAAAGAATTTTAGAAAAAAAAAAAAAAACAATCATTTTCAAATGTTATTCGAAACTTTCGATATATATTATTGTTAATAATAATAATAATAAAAAGGAAAATTTTTTTTTTTTTGTACCCCGAAAGGAAAACGTAAAATAAATTTTTCTTTTATTTTGTTTTCTTTTATTCTGTTCTTTTTTTTTTTTTTTGTTTCCTCCAGGAAAAAAAAGAAAACCTCACGTCAGGTTCTTTTTCATTTGTCTTTATTTTTTTTTATTTTTTTCCATTTTCCGAGGGCCTGGAATACGCAACACGCATATTTATCGAGCAAAAATTGTGACGTCATTTTCGTTGCATCATATACGTCTGACCTCATCTCATTCGAAATGAATATTTTATTTTATTATTTATTCACGTTTCTCCCCATTTCAAAAAAAAATTATTATTATTATTTATTAATTACATAATTTTTACATAAATTTATATTATTATTATTAATAATAATAATAAATTTTCATTTAAATAAAAAAAATAAAATTAATTATTCAATAACAATCAACAGGTAGGAAAAAAAGTTTTACAAAATGTTTTTTTTTTTGTTTTTTTATCAAATGAAAAAAACAATTTTTCTTTTTTTTTTTTTTTTTGCGTTGCTAAGCTGTCACGTTTATTTACACGATTATATAACGGAAACGGAAATGCCTTTTTTTTATTTTTATTAAATCAAATACTCTATAAATTATTTTATTTTATTTTTTTGAAATAAAATGTTTTCATTGCGCCGATTTTAAATTTATTGATTTTATTCACGGTAATGTTATTATCAATTAATAATATTTAACCAATGAAATAATAATAATAATAATAAAACATATTCGTTGTTTTCTTATTTAATTGTAATCAAATGTTTATTATCTTAATAATAATTACGTGATGTTATAAAAGAAAATAATAATAATATGGCATCTTTAAAATTTTTTGTTACAAATTTAACCTTAAATTTTATAACGGCGGTAATTGCCAAGAAATAATTACTCGAAAGTGATAGATAAATTTATTTAAATAAAATTTAACGCGGTTTTAAAATTTTCAATTTTAATAAATATTTAATTTATGTGCAGGAGTCTTGCGTTTAAAATAAATCGATGTTTATATTTTACAACGTAAATAGCAAAAAAAAAAAAAAAAAAGGAAATGAATTTGAAAAACGGAAGTAGAAGTAGAAGAAGATGAAGAGACGGTAAAGTTTTTAAAATGGCGTAAAAAACGTTCGCTCTGACATCTATTGAACTCATTTGTAACTAAAATAAATCCACTAACGGTTTTTTAGTTCATCGAAAAGTTGTAAGCTGCTTTGAATTTATTAAAGTCCTCAAACATAACCTGATCACTTTACAAAATAAAAATTTTTATCATAGAAATGGAAAGTACGGATAAACTTAATTTAATTATTGAATTCGGGTAAGTTTTTATTTGATTTTTTTAAAAATACATTCAAGTTAATTAATTTTCGAAGTAATTTAATTGTTAAACGTTCATATCGTACGAATAATGATAATTACCATTGACAATAATTTTACATTAGGGTACATGTAAATTCATTTTAATTATTTTTTAAAATTTAAATTTAAATTTGTTTTCAGTGGTGGAGCAGAGCTTTTATTTGGAAATGTAAAAAAGCACGAAGTACAGTTAACGCAAGAAAAATCATCAAAATGTGAGAGAAAGTAATATTCATGTTGCATATTACCATGCAATAATTACACACATTTTTATTAATCTGTAAAATTTTATTTTTAGGGACAATTAGAAAACTTTTACCATGGTTGGAAAAAAATTTATTAAAAGAAAGACCTGAATTATTTTTACAAGAAGAAACTGTTAGACCTGGTATTTTAGTTTTAGTCAATGATGCAGATTGGGAATTATTGGTATGTTTACAATCAATATATAATATGATATCAAAAATTTTTTCAATGTTTAATAATCGAATGTTGAACAAGTACACAATGATTACACACTCTATGATATTGAAATTTAATTAGGTCAATTTTTTTTAAATTATGGTTTTTATTTTTAAACAAAAATTATTATGCATTAAAAATCAATAGTGACAGGTTTCGAAAGAAAAGAAAAACATAATTTAATAATGTTAAAATTTATTTTATAAATCGAAACAATATGTTATAATTAACCTTTTATTAAAGTTAATGTTATTTTTTTTAAAATTTACAAAAGGCCACATATATAAAAAATTATATAAAAAAGGGGCGTAGGCATTTTTGTTAAATTTAAAAAAAAAAAAAAATTTAGAAATAGAATTACTTCTAGAAGTTCTATTGAGATTAAAATTGATTAAGGGAATCCATAAATTGTAAAGTTTAAGAAAAGAAAAAAAATTTAGATTTTTAAATTTTTTTTCGTTTTTTTTTTCGTTTTTTTTTTTTTTTTTTGTTTTTCTGTTGCCGGATATTAAAAAACCGGAAATTGCCAAAGGAAAACTCTGACATTTTTATCGAGTAATTTACTGTTTGATTTAAAAGAGAACAAAAAAGGAAAAAAAGGGAAAAAAAAAGGAAAAAACAAGAATTATTTTAGCCAAAGGCATCTCTTTTTGGTTTTAGTATATTTTCATTTACATATTTAAATTGAGATTCATTCGAAAAATAGGGTGAGAAAATCCTCTCGTGACGATAATAATAATAATATATAATGATGATGATGATGAAGATACTTTTTTTTTTTTTTTTTTAACGATCGTTTTTTTTTTTTTTTTTCGATAAAAAAAAAAAATTTTTTTTTTTTTTTTTGTCAAAGTAACCTTCTATTAATATTATTATTTTAATCATAATCATCATCATCATCGGTCGGGTATTTACGGACTATAATAATCCTTGGATTAGTAGTAGAATTTTTCCTTTTTTTTTTTTTTTTTTTTTTTTTGATTTTTAAATAATAATAATAATAATGATGATAAGTTTTTATTCCCTTCTTTTGTTTTTTTTTTTTTTTTTGTCTTTTTTCAAACCGGGGGAAAAAAAATGTCAGTTAAAATAAAAAAAATGAAAAATGTGTTTTTTTTTTTATGTCCTCCACATAAAAAATTATTGCATAATTTACATTTAAAGTAAAAGGGGAAAAGTTTTTTTAGCAATACCTTAGGAGTTGAAACGATAATAGTTTAATTATTTCCCCATGTTTACAATCTGAAAGTTATCAATTTTTGGGGGGTGCTATCAAAAAAATATATGAAATTTTGGTCATTTGTAGGGGGACAAAAGTATTAGATTTTAAAGAAAAGGTTTCTCGTTCTTAGGAGTGAGATAGGGTTTCAGGTATAAACCTTTCATTCAAATTTTAAAGGGGATCCACTTGGTGGGTCCCACAGCATTCGTTTTTTCATAAGTTTTTAGGTTTTTTTAGGTTTTTTGAGTGGTTACGTTTACAAGTTTTTGCCCGACAATATTTTTTTTTTTTTACGTTTCGTATGTGTAAAAATTTAAACTATTTTATTTATTTTTTTTGTGCGGTAATAAATGGAGTCTCGAAAGTTTTGTTTAAATATTTCGTACATTATTAAACCCTTCAGGTAAAAATTTTAATTAACAATTATTATATTAAAAATTATTACGTAATAAATTAAAACGAAATTTTGTATTTGGTAAAAAAGACGAGGGGGGATGGGAAAAACACGTTTCAAAAATTATTTTTTACTTTTTTATTTTTATTAATAACCCGACATTATTAAATGTTTTTTAAAAAATAACTAAATAAGTAAATAATTAATAAATTAAAAACAAAAACGCGCATGTAAATAAAAGAAAAAATAAAAATTAATAAAATGAAAATTAATTAATTAATTAAGCGATTCGATGTTTTCTATATTAAAAAAATTATTATTATTATTATTATTATTATTATTATTATTATTATTATTATTATTATTATTATTATTATTATTATTATTATTATTATTATTATTATTATTATTATTATTATTATTATTATTATTATTATTATTATTATTATTATTATTATTATTATTATTATATATATATTATTATTATTATTATTATTATTATTATTATTATTATTATTATTATTATTATTATTATTATTGTAC